TAAAGTAACATTTATTTATTAATTAAAATGTTATGAAAATCATATAGGCTATTAAACATCGTGTAGTTCTTATTTTCCTAAGAAGTAAAACTTATGTTACCCAAACATCAACCTCCTTGCAATTTAGCAAGACATATAGTTCAACTGCATCTTTCTCCTCCAATGTTAAACATTGTGTACGTGAGTGGGCACCTATTGATTCACCAGGAGAACAAAATACAGATAACTTACCTGGGACGTTGGTTCCAATGCCACCATAGTTCCTTAGAGGCTAATTCCAGCTTGTCTCAACATCATCCCCAAAATAATGAGAGCAAAATTGGGATATCTCGTATAATATAAATGCCTCAACAATTGATGCCTCGACATAATTTTTATTTCCTATGGTACTCTTAAGTTTGTGCATGCGCCTGAAAAGAAATACTGATAAGATTAATTTACAAAAAAATAATCAAAAGTAAGTTTTAAAATTATCAATTTCTTTGTATGTTTTACCTTTCAAATGGGTACATCTAACGAAATTGAACAGGACCACCAACTTTGATCTCATATGGAAGATGAATTGCTAGATGTCCCATAGAATCAAAGAATGTTGGGGGGAATATTATTTCTAACTTACAAATTATTTCAACAATCTTTGCCTCCCACTTCTGCATCTTAATAACTTTAATGACCGGGGAACAAAGTGAACGAAAGAAGTTACTAATGTCGGTCAAAGGACCCCAAATAGCAAACGGCAATAAACCGCGAAAAGTAACTGGAATTAGTCGTTGCATGAAAACATGACAATCATGACTTTTCATCCCAAATAACCTAAACTCATTCAAGTTAACACATCTTGATATGTTGGAAGCAAACCCATCTGGAAAGCGCAACTGTTTTAGCCATGCACGTAGAAGTTTTTGTTTTTTGAAATGTTAGTGCATAACTAGCATTAGGTTTCACAAGCTTACCATGCGTATTATATCCCATGTGCAGTTTTCTTCGGTCACAATAAATGGCTAAATCCAATCTTACTTTCCCATTGTCTTTTGTCTTATCGTTATTCATAACAGTGTGTATTATATTATCAAAGAAATTTTTCTCACAGTGCATAACATCAAGATTATGTCGAATAAGATTATCATGGTAATAAGGAAGTTCCCAAAAAATGCAAATTTTCACCCAATTATGGATGTTCCCAAAACCCTCAATTGTTTGGTTTTCAAAAGGTTTCCCAAACAACACATCAGGAAGGTTTTCAACTCGATGACACATTGAAACACCATCCAATCGAGGAGGGGGACTGCCTAATTCAACCCGACCCTTCAAGAAATTACTATGATCAAATCTGAAAGAATGTGATTCTGGTAAAAACTGACGATGAGAATAAAAAAAAACATGGTTTCCGACCATTTTGAAGATAAAAAGATTGTGTCATCTCCATATAGTAAGGACATGACAATTGGCCATGAGTGCTCCAACCAGCCACCATATCATAACCCGGAAAATCAGTTATGGTCCACATCAACATAGCCCGCATTATGAAGTTTTGCTTACCATAACTATCATATGTTTCTACACCAGTCAACCATAACATTTTCAAGTCTTCAATTAAAGGTCGAAGGAAAACATCGATATTTTTACCTAGGCTTTTTGGACCAACAATGACCAATGTAAGAAAAGTAAACTCTGGTCGCATGTACATCTCTGGTGGCAAATTAGAAACAATTAAAAAAACTGGCCAACAAGAGTAGGAGGTTGAAGAATGAGCCCATGGGTTGAAACCATCAGTAGCAAAACCTAATTGAACATTACGAGGTTCTCTTTTAAAAGAAAGATGCATTTGATCAAAATGTCTTCATGCTTCTGATTGTGCTGGATGAATGACCTTATTCATATCACCACAACATTTCAAATGCCATGTCATGTGCTCAGCTATTTTTTGAGACATGTATAGCCTCTGAAAGTGAGGTATTATTGGCAAGTATCAAAGAGAATTCCTCGAAATGTCCTTTTGTCTATTCCTCCCTAGATTTCTTTGTTTATACCTAGCTTCTCCACAAATTGGACATGTAGTCAATGTCTTCGTATGCTCCCCATAGTATAAAAAGCAATTGTTAACATAAGCATCAATTTTTAGATAACCTAACCCAAGCCCCTTCATATATTTTTTTTACTTCATAAAAGTTTGAAGGAACTTTTTCTTGATCTTCAGCACTTAACAACCTTCTATATCCTTTGAGAATGGCATTAAAACCATTAGCGGTTATATTATTTGCAGTCTTTGTATGCAACATATAAGAAAGCCAGTTAAGCACTGTCTCATTTCTTTTAGCACTACCAAGTGGAATTGTAGATGCATGAAGCAAGTCATAAAATGCTTTTGCCTGATTGTTTGGTTCCTCGTCCAAATGTTGATTGGGGAAATTACCTTCCATTTCTCGATTATCATCATCCTCTGGACAAAATGCATCATACACCATTTCATGAAAGTCATTCCTTTCATCATGGTGTGTATCTTGGCTATGTGATGATTCTCCCAGATTAGTAGCAAACCATGGATCTGCTGAATTCACAAATGTCTCACCATGTGCCCACCAAACAAAATAAGCATTCATAAAACCATACTTAGTAAAATGGTCCCATACCATTTCCTGAGTCATCAATGGTAAACTAAAACATTTAGTACAATGACATCTGATTAAATCATTCGGTTGAAGACCAAAGCTATTGTATGCAAATTGAAGGAAATATTCAACTCCACTATAGAACTCATTATATATCTCTCCTCGTGGAGTTCGATGCCTATACATCCAACTACGATTCTCCATAATCTTATTAAATCAATAAAATAAAATTAATAACATGATTAGTTTCAAAATAATTATAATATCTTTAACA